TTCAAAAAAAAAAGATCTACAATCAGTGGAGAACCTCCCGGGCAGTAATTCTTCACAAGAAGTGTGATAGGGAGGATCTTCGACAATACCTCCAATATCTCTGCTGAGCATGTCTTCACGAAGTTATTTACTCGCAAATCAAGGATATTGGATCAAGTTTAACTTTAGAACAAGCTGGATTTTGCAATTTGGATGTACGGATCACATCTAGAAGCTTTCGAGGATTATCGTGTTTTGCCGAGGGTGGACCGATCTTACATCAGGAACCGCTACAAGAACTGCTCTACAACGGTACAATTCATCGCCCCCTTGGCTTACCAATCTCAAAGGGGGTTCGGCAAGGCGACACCACACAAAAACTGTTTATCGCCATCTCGCACTGGATGATGAAATCACTGGATCGGGACAATGGAAGTATACGAGCTGCTAGGATATTTCTCTCAAACCTTGAAGTTCCAAGTCTATCTATTTGATTCGAGTGTTCTCCCAGCGCTTTGTCATGCAGCAAAGACGTGGCTTGACATTGTGGGTACATAAAGGTTCTCTGAACAACTAGAGCGCTGCAATGACTCTTTAAAGTTCCAAACGAGCTTTCAACAGCTTGTCGAAATTCTCATTTCATATATGAGATAAGTGTTCCATGTGTGCGTTCCAGCGAAATACGTTTCTAAAGCAAATATCGAAGAGTTGGTCATGTAATGAAAAGGACAGACGACAGATGGGCATGAGAATTCTAACGTCCTCTAGCGTTGCCATCTACCTGAGCTGACGAACTTGGTGCAATGGGCGAGCTGAAATCTCAGTTGCTAACAAGGACTGGGCTGGACCTCTCGAACGTCGACTCTGCAGTTCAATACAACATCGTGAAGGGCGCTAATGAGAGAAAGAAACGGATGGAAACAATGCGAAGGGCCTGCACGATATATGAAGGCAGTGTCTGAGTGACTAAGTATCTCACTCGGAGATTTTTTGCCACAGTATGAATAAGGATGTGGCAGGAGTCTGAGTTCATTTTTAACGTGAGATCTGACGTTGTTTCACGAATGGTCGCTCCTATTAAGATCTCAATCTACACGGTTTTGGGTGTGACTTTCTGTTGCAATAGATAAAGAAATGACTAGGACAGTTCTATGTTAAAGAATTCAGGCTGAGAGAGAGGCAAATGAACTTAGAGCGCAAAAGGAAGAAGAGGAGAAAGCAAAGCGAATTCAGGAAGCCAAAGAAGGTAATTTGTCGCGGCTTTGAAAGATTTTCAAGAGCATGGTAGGAGCTTCTTACAAGTCATTCATTAGAACCATAATGTTGTTCATAAATTAGCTGAAGCAGCAGCGGCGTATGCACAGTCACAGCAAGCTTATATGGCTCATCATCAAG